CCGACAGGATGAAACAATTCCAAGAGTTGGCGGTGGGTGGCGATGACTAGTTGCCTTCCCTCTCGTCTTACACTGCTAATTTAGGGACGGCTAGCGCATATATCCCTCGTGTAGCTTTGCGCGGAATTCGAAACAAACAAACAAAGACTGTCCGTAAACATTTTAACGACTCAATTTTGGGTCGCGACCAAAGGGTTAAGAAACGCTAGATTAAGGGTTAATTAACCCTATACAGTGTATCTGTGTGCTACGCTTAGTTGTGAAAACAAGAATAGAGATGAGCTTACGTTAGACAGGTGTATGTGTATCTTTTCTTTTTTCTCGAGATTTTCGTAGGTCATCAATTAATCTATTATTCGTAAAACGTGATACTTTTATTCCCTTATTTGTACTACTAAATCATATAATATTGCCAGTTTCAAGTATCACAATTAATGGACGCTTCCAGTTCACAAGGCCCTTTTTCAACTCCAGTACCCTGATAATTACGTAAACGAGGGAATGCGATTCGAAACCCATATTGTGATAATGAAATTTAACTCTGAAACATACAGAAATGTATTTGTGATACGGTTAGATACAAGCATATAAAGTTAGTCATTTTTCATTAAAACTGATATTTTTAAAGACAAACTTAATTTCTCTTGTAAAGTGAACATCGACACTATTTTATGTTACAGGGAAGCAACAAATATGAACATACTGGGTACCAAAAAGCTTGCTGAGTTGTGTCAGAAAATGTCTAATTTGGTTGTAAGTAATTGTTTTTTTTATCACACACTTAATATTGAATATACGAGTACACTATCGTTAAAAAGTTTGGAAACAGACAACGTTTTGGAGATGATGTAAACATTTATAACAATATTTATTAGCCCTAGAACCAGTAAAGACTAAATTATATAATTGACACGTACAAATGCACTTATAATCTATTTTTACGATAAGACTGGCTTGCTGGCTCGTAAGGGCTTCTGAATGACGAGTAAAAGTAATTCAAGTAAAAATAAAATAATAATTAATAATTGTTTTTTTAAATATATATAAATACTATTGTGTTATTTATCCTTACCATAATTCTGATTTGTAAACGGACTTGTATACAACTGATAATAATTGCGTATACAACTGGTAATAATTGCGTATACAACTGGTAATAATTACGTATACAACTGGTAATAATTACGTATACAACTGGTAATAATTACGTATACAACTGATAATAATTGCGAATACAACTGATAATAATTACGTATACAACTGGTAATAATTACGTATACAACTGATAATAATTACGTATACAACTGGTAATAATTACGTATACAACTGATAATAATTACGTATACAACTGATAATAATTGCGTATACAACTGATAATAATTACGTATACAACTGATAATCATTACGTATACAACTGGTAATAATTACGTATACAACTGATAATAATTGCGTATACAACTGATAATAATTACGTATACAACTGATAATAATTGCGTATACAACTGATAATAATTACGTATACAACTGGTAATAATTACGTATACAACTGATAATTACGTATACAACTGATAATAATTACGTATACAACTGATAATAATTACGTATACAACTGGTAATAATTACGTATACAACTGATAATAATTACGTATACAACTGATAATAATTACGTATACAACTGGTAATAATTACGTATACAACTGGTAATAATTACGTATACAACTGATAATAATTACAGTTCACCAACTTAGCTTATTCCACACCATAACAACTGATGTTTATGCAGTTTGATACAAATGACGAGTGTCATATTCCACCCAACCCGATTAGTACTGGTATTAGGCGAAAGGCCTCGTCGGCACTGAATATAACAGACATAGTGTGGTTCATATATTGTTATTCATTTTTCTTTACTTAAAATATTTACCTAAACATTAGTTTTTGTCAAATGACCAGAGTTAACTTTTATACCGTTATTATAAATTACAAAGATAACTGCCTAAAAAATCTATACAGCATTAAAATATAAACAAATCAGGGGAAATGTACGGAACCGTTGGTATGGTGTTCTACATAGATATACTGTACCTTCTGATTATAAATATATTGGCCAAGGTTTCATTCTCAAAGAGAATAATGATCATCAGCACACATCTAAGCCATGTCAAGGCTGTACAGAAGTTAAGAAACAAAGCGTGTTCTTCTAAACATGTTATGGCTACCACAGTCACCATGTTCTCACTTACTGAACGGCCCGACATGGCCAGGTGGTTAAGGCGCTCGACTCGCAATCTTAGGGTCGCGGGTTCGAATCCCCGTCCCACCAAACATGCTCGCCCTTTCAGCCGTGGGGGCGTTATATGTTACGGTCAATCCCACTATTCGTTGGTGAAAGAGTAGCCCAAGAGATGGTGGTGGGTGGTGATGACTAGTTGCCTTCCCTCTAGTCTTAGACTGCTAAATTAGGGACGGCTAGCGCAGATAGCCCTCGTGTAGCTTTGCGCGAAATACAAAAACAAACAAACAAACACTTACTGAACTCGTGTGGGATGTAACATGTTGCGATACACGATGTAACACAACTGTGGTATTACATTCATAAAGCCTGGATTACTCTAACACACGAATATTTTGGTAAACTGACTGATAGAGTGCTATGAATATGCAAATCTGCGTTAAGACCAAAATTGGTTGTTTTGATTAATGTAATGTGGATGTGAATATAATCAGATCATGAATCAGTTGTACAAGTTCAAATACATAAGTTGCTTTTTATTGTTATTATAACCAATAAGTTAACATTGAAAATATTTGTTTTAATTGTATCCGCAAATAATTGCCTGTTTCCAGACCTTTGAAAAATAGTGTATACAACATATATATAGTTAAACCTAAAACTACGGCCGAGTGGTTTTCACTTAATTTAACAAGTTCAAAACAAACATTTGTTTTTAATGTTGTCAGATAAAAAATTTGTTTTCACCGCATTTATTTTTGTACTTTTAATGAAGCATTTTATCAGATTACGGAAAAAAACCGAAGTTCTTAAATTGGTTTTGTCTCGTCAGATTGACGTTTTACTAATGTTTGTTTTATTCTAGATGATAGTTTAGCTTGAGTTTTCTACCAGGCTACAATTAGTACTGTTTAAAAAAACGCGGGAAATTGTACCACGTAAAATATTGTCGAGTATAGTTGAGCTCATTCTTTAGTTTTATCGGAATTATTCGGTAAAGCGTTTTTTTTTTTTGTTTTGTTTTTCAGTGTTCAAGTGTAATTGTAGGTTTTGATTGATAATGTCTAACGTCAAGTGTCATCTTAGTTCACTGTGCCTTTATGTTGTATCTTTGTTCAGTGTGCTTTCGTGTTCTATCATTGTTCATTCTGTTTTTATGTTGCATCTCGGTATGCACTCTTGTTAGATCTTGGTTCATTGTTTCTCCATTTTGTATCTTGGTTCACTGTTTCTTCATGTTGTATCTTTGTTCCCTACTCTTTTACCAACGAATAGTGGGATTGACCGTCACATTATAACGCCCCCACGGCTGAAAGTGCGAGCATGTTTGGTGTGACGGGGATTCGAACCCGCGACCCTCAGATTGCAAGTCCTGTGCCCTAAACCACCTGGCCATGCCGGGCCATTCAAAATTGTAACCTAAAAATATTTTCGGTGCTTTGCATGTATCTCAAAATGGAGAAAACCTTAATCATATAATAAGTAGAAATGTTAAATATTCTTTCAAATAAAATCGTGACTGTTTTACTTTTTCTCATTGATGGGGGTTTTCATATGCTATCTTATAATTAGGCGAGATAGGTGTGTCTTTACCAGCGTATATTTCAACATTTCTTGAACACTTACCAACTTCAATATGATAACGGTTCTTCTGTACAAAAAAAAGTAAATAGTAAGGCATACTTATTATACAATAAACTAGAAACACTATTAAAATTACGTCCAATAGGTGGTGCTTGTTTTCCTAAACACCTGATTTTGTTGAAGTTAGTGAAATTTGAAAAAGCCTCGCATAAATATAATATAAATAAACATATATCGAGAGTATATTCAGTTAGAAAGGTTTCCTTTTTGTTTCTTTAAGAATTTCGTGCAAAACTACACAGAGGCTACCAATCTATATTAGTTTCCGATAGACCAGCTAATACAAACTCTTCGATTACTATCATCTGATCGAATAGTGAGGTTTGGCAGTCACTCTTATAGCGCACCCACGGACCCGAAGTGTGGACTGCAAGTTTATGCTCACGAACCATGAATTCTCGGGTTCGTAGTCAGTCACGTCCGGTCCAGCTGCAAAATTTAAAAATGGAATAGACTATTCATGCAGAGTTAAGTTTTTCTCCCACAGGTTTTCATCTTAATATTTTACCTCAACGGTTCATCAAACCGGACTGTAGCTGCAGAATGGAAGACAATAGACACATTCTCTATCAACGTCGCTCGATCGGAATTGTTGATCCCCAGGCCTGGTAGGGTGATGTCCCCAGCAATGGGGACAACCTTTTTAGTCACATAAGGCTGTTGTTTTTTCAAATGATTGAATAGCTAAAAAGAGGAAAGACAGAATTGTGAATCAAGTATAACAACAGTTTTCAAAGATTTACAAATGTTGTTCAGTTGTACGTCGTAAATTACTTGTTTATTTTATTCACAACGTTTCGCCAGGTACGTACAACTGAAAAAAAAAAAAACTTGTGTGAATTTTAAAAACTCTTTCTAACAGTTAAGTTTTCAAAGAGTCAAAAATGGCGTTTGTTATTTATGAATAGTCTTATTGTAAAATTAAACAATAAGTTTATAAGAGTTTGGGAAATAGTTCCGATAAACTATTTTGGAACTATTATTTCATTTAATCTCCCTAAATATATCACAAAGTATTTTTTCTTATAAGTAAAAACGTACCAAATTTATTATTGCCAATAATTAAACAGGTGATAAGATTTCTCCTAAAGTGAAAATCTTCAGTTTTTCTAATATTCAGAAAACTTCTCTGTAAGGTCAGATTTCAAATAGTAAGCAAAAGTAGAAAAGAAGGGAAGCAAAAATCAATATATAGGTTTAAGGCATGTTAGCCTAAAACAACATAAAATAAAATCCATTAATATCTATGATATTCACCTACAAGATAAACAGTTTAAGTAAAGGAATTTCTTGTTTTGTTCTTACGTTTTTCGTGAAACAAACCCTAATTCTGTATATACGCATAACGGAAAATATTATCATTATTTGTACTTCGAGTTAAAAGCGTTAACAAATAAACTGTGGTTGAATAAATAAACATTAAGTCCGGGCACACTGTAACAACAGCTGAAATCTGCACCGAATAAAAATATTATTCTGAGGACCTTACCTCTGAATGGAAAATTTCTTCTAAACGTTGCCCCACTTGCTTCCCCTTTTTTGGTCTTAACAGTATGTAGATATTCTCGATGCCAGGGCAGGATCGAAGTAGTTTCTCAACAAGAACCTGAGAAAGTTCGTACAAAACACATACTTAACATCACTAATTATTTCCGTAAGAAATCAGAAAACTGGTTAGTTTAAAGACAAAAATTATGTGTAATTTTGTCTTTCTTTATATCAGAAAGTTATAGAGTTATAATAGAGTTATTATTATGTTTATTTATTTGTTTTTTGAATTTCGCGCAAAGCTACACGAGGGCTATCTGCGCTAGCCGTCCCTAATTT